CCCATGCACTGCAGGGAGGAGACCCAAAGCTGCATTACCTGGTAGTTTTTGAAGTTAGCAAGGATGTGTTTGATTTGCTCTGCAGCTCCTGTCATGAAAGGCTTTACCCTCTCTGGCTTGTGTTCCTCGAGTCTGGCTTTGATTCTGGAAGGAAAAGCAGCTCTGAGGACATGCTCTGGCTCCAGAACCTCACCAGCAGTCAGACTGATTTTGCCACCTCTCCCCTCCTCTCAAAGCCACAGAATTTTATCTTCACTTTGCTAGTGAATAAGCAGAACTCATTATAAAGCTTATTTCAAATTTTAGGCTAGTGGTAAGACAAAAATGAGCAAGACATTTCCACAGCACCAAGAGTACTACCCACCAGCATCACAAAGTTTTCACCTTTAGTATTATCCCACCAAATGGTGAGCAACAGGAATACCACGGATCTGCAAGAAGCTCCTGTCACCAATGTTATTTTGGGACATTTAAATCATAGAAAAGGTTTGGGAAGCTTTTTGTCACCACCTCACCCCCTTCCACATGAATGTCTGGCACGGAAGAATCCCAAAGAAAACAGCAAGATTACAAACAGGACCCAAATCACATGATCAGCTCTACTGCCTCTGCCAAAATAAACTCAGATATCCCAGTATCAACCCTTTCGAGCTCCAGTTTTGCCAAGTGTTAAGACACTGTTGAGGTTCACATGCAGTTTGGCCCCTGTATCAGAGTTAACAGCTACTAGGAATAAAGCCCAGTGCTGTTTTTGACATCTCAGTGACCCAAACTTTTCACAATCCCCTTTAAAGCAGCAGCCCACCAACACTTACGCCTTCATGTAGTCCTTGATGTACTTCTTGTAGGACTCTTTTGTAAAGCTGGTTTCCTGAAGGTGGTGGTTTATGACTATATCAACACCAGTTATCACCGTGGCTTCTGTTCCATCTCCCTCAGGACCTTCAGCAGAGGCATTGCCACCAATTAGAGAGTCATCAATTTGACCCTCTGTCCTGGTGACCATCTAGATTTAGAGACATCAAGAAACTTAACGGCTCTGCAAAAACCTTAACGCTACCGCTCTTACACACCTATGACCTGACAGCAGGGCACGACTTCAGAGCCACAGTTCAACGCAAGGAACCCGACTGCAGCCCGAGGGGTTTTTTTTAAGCCAGTCCCCCGCACCGGGGCCGGGCTGCCCGGGGCCCCTCA